TAGTAGTAGTAGTAGTAGTAGTAGTAGTAGTAGTAGTAGTAGTAGTAGTAGTAGTAGTAGTAGTAGTAGTAGTAGTAGTAGTAGTAGTAGTAGTAGTAGTAGTAGTAGTAGTAGTAGTAGTAGTAGTAGTAGTAGTAGTAGTAGTAGTAGTAGTAGTAGTAGTAGTAGTAGTAGTCGTAGTAGTAGTAGTAGTAGTAGTAGTAGTAGTAGTAGTAGTAGTAGTAGTAGTAGTAGTAGTAGTAGTAGTAGTAGTAGTAGTAGTAGTCGTAGTCGTAGTCGTAGTCGTAGTCGTAGTCGTAGTCGTAGTCGCAATGGTAGCAGTTGTAGTAGCTATCATCACCCCAGCCATAATAAAAGTATGTGGGGTTCCTGGGTCGCGTAGTTGCGCTGCATGCGTGGGTGCGCGCCATTTCTGGTCTGCTATTTACTAATTTCGCAGACTCGACTCTGGCACTTGGCCGAGTCGGGCATGGCTTGCCGCGGCCGCTTCTTGCGTCGCGCAAGAGCCCCTAGCCTCAAGACAGCAAGGAATTGACTGGATCTTCTTCGGCTATGTGCGCGCTGCAGCAATGTTTCGCGCAATGTAGACCAGCTCGTCTGCACCCCGCCGAGGAGTATCATGGCAGCGTGCGCCACAAGCCCCCAGAGCCCCATCGCCTCGCGGCCCCCCCCTCCCTTGCGCGAGCGAGGTTTCGGCAGGACACGGCCCACAGTCACGACACCGTGGGTCGAGCCTCACGGCTGCAGAGCCAAAGTGGGCAAATCAAAGTACCCTTTCCCGCCGCACATAACCTGCGGTCTGAACAACTGAATTTTACAAAACAATAACAAAACAGCCTTCGCTCGAGTCTAAGGACACGAGCATCTCCGCCTCCTCCTCTCCCTCTTGCTTTCCCTCCCCCTCGCCTTCCCTCCCTGATGGCTTCCCTCCTCATTTTTTTTTTTGTTTGTTTCTCTCTCTCTCTCTCTATGTTGCCTTCCATCCTCTCCCCGCCTCCGCGCCGGCACCTCCGCCCGTGGCCCTCCTGGCGCAGGCGCCTCGCAGCTCCCCGTCCAGGGCGCGCAGGAGGACCCGTGCCCCAGGGCGGAGGCGGGAGGCCCCAGCGCCCGAGGGAACAGGGGGCCTTGCCCTTCCAGATGGGGTCCTCCTCTTCCTCCTCCTCCTCGGCCTCGCACGCCCCGTCTCAGTTCAGAACTCGATCCGGATTTGAAAACTGGCCCAGCGAGGCCATCTTGGGCACGTCCATCTCGAAGCTCTTTAGAGAAAGTATGAGGCTCCCACTCTGCAATATAGATCTGATGAGACCACTTTCGAGGCCTACTGTAAGACGCCCCTTCAATTTCGGCTACCAGTAATTCTTGATATCCAGAGCCGCCAGGGTCAGGACAGTTTCCACTGACCTCGCCTCTTCCTGGTTCGCTGCTGATGCGCGTATGTAGGTATACAAGTGTATGTATGTATGAATGTGGTATGTATGCATGCATGCATGCATGCATGCATGCATGCATGCATGTATGTATGTATGTATGTATGTATGTGTGCGTACGTATGTATGTATGTATGTATGTAATGTAATGTAATGTAATGTAATGTAATGTAATGTAATGTAAGGTAAGGTAAGGTATTTGTAATGTAATGTAATGTAATGTAATGTAATGTAATGTAATGTAATGTAATGTAATGTAATGTAATGTAATGTATGTATGTATGTATGTATGTATGTATGTATGTATGTATGTGTGTGTATATGTATGTATGTATGTATGTATTAATACATGCACGCATGTACGTATGTATGCATGCATACCATGATATGTAATACAATGCCATGTAGTGTAATATAATGTAATGCAATGTATTGATCTGTAATGTAATGTAATGCATGCGTGTCTGTATGCATGTATGTATGTGGGTATGTATGTATGTGTATGGGTACGTGTATGTGTATGTGTATGTGTATGTATGTATGTATGTATGTATATATATAGGCATGTATGTCTGCCTGTACGTATGTATGTATGTACTGTATGTATGTGTGTATATATACATATATATATGTATGTATGTATGTAAGTAAGTATGTATGTAGGTAGGTAGGTAGGTAGGTAGGTGTATATATATATATATATATACATGTGTGTATAGATATATATGTGTTTATATATGTATTTATGCATGTGTTAATGTATGTATGTATGTGTGTGTGTGTGCAAGGATGTGTGTATGTATACATGCGTACACACATGCATGCATTCAGGCATGTGTATCTGTCTGCCTGTCTGTCTGGCTGTCTGTCTGTCTGTATGTGTGTGCATGTATGGATATATGTATGTATACATGTATGTATGCATGCATGCATGCATTTATGTGTGTATGTGTGTAAGCATATCGATTGAACGATGATTGCATGTCGGCTTCGATGATTGCATAATCTCTTTTTCTCTCGCTCCCCCTGTCTCTCGCACACACTCATAGCATCAACACAAGCAGTGGAACAGACACGCTTGCGTTCTTGTTACGGCGGCGAAGCGATCCAGCGGATACCTCAAAACGTCATACCCAGAGGTGCAGGTATCTAGAACATGAGAGGCGCTTTTAATCCTTCCCCAAATTCCTGAAACGAGAGTCCATTGAAGGGCACGGGAGTGCGCGATTGAAGCAGCGTGTCCGACGAAAGCGCGCGGACCACGCTTCAGCACGAACGCGAGCCCAGCCTCCCAGCTGAAACTGAGGCTTGATGGTGCGGGATTACGTTTCACCGAGCCCACTGCACTGGCGGCAGGAGGTCCCGTAGATCATTGACATCAATACGGCAAAACATTAAACCAGCTGGCTTGCATGATTCGAATCGGCACGAGTCGAGCGCAACGAGGTGGAGAGACCAACAGTACACGAGCGGCGAATCCCTGGCTGCGCCCAGGGACCACAGCGGCGGCGCATGTTGGGACCGGGGCCCCCGAAGGCCCTCACGAGGCTTCGGGAGGCTCCCGGCCGTCCCCGAGACGCCTCCAGGAAGCCCCCACGGGCTCCCGGACCATGCAGAATCGATCCCTTCCAGAAGGCCCACGAGTCCCCCAAAAACGTCCCAAGAAGCTCCAAGAAGGCACCAAAAGGGTCCCAGGAGGTTGAAATCGTTCCATTGAAAGACGTTTATTTTCAGTATCTGCACGCGGCGGGCTACCTCAGCGTGCACCATGACCCCTAACGCCGCCCAAACCGCCCCAACACAGCTCAAGAAACCCGCAAGAGAGCACGAAGACTGCCACGAGGGCCCCAAGAAGGCCCAAGACGGCCCGCTCTAGAGGTACCCAGCGCCGAAGAGGGCCTCGAGGCCCTCAAGAGCTCCCAAGAGGCCCCCAGGAAAGCTCCAAGATGCCCCGGAGAGGCGTTCCGGGCTGCTCTTGGGGGGGGTGAGTCAGGGGGCATGCGCAAGCTTTGGAAGTGCATCGGTGGCAGATATGCGAGCATAGCAATCATAACACAACAACCATAATTTCTCCTTCCTCTCCCCCTCCCTCCTCCCCGCTACGTCCCTTTCCCTTTCCCCTCGTTTCTCCTTCATGTCTGGTATTTCAATGATGCTGACCTCTCGAGGGCTTCCCCAGAGCTCTTGTGCGACCCTAGAAGGCCTCTTGGGGTGATCTTGGGTGCTCTTGCTTGGGGGCCTCCAGAACCAACTTGAAACAATTCACCTGGCGAAGGACCCAACCATACGCAGTTGTGAACAACGCTGTTGTGGGTATCGTCTTTGATAGAGCTCCCCATGGGCCGGTGCCATAGAGGCCTCCAGTGGAGCTCCCTATGGGGCCACGAAGCGCACGTATTGGGTGGGGGAGGCGCATGTGGGCGGGTGCGTTGGGGCGCTCGGTGGGGCTCCCTGTGGGCCCGTGAAGCGCTGTATTGGGCGGGGGAGACGCGTGTGAGTGCAGCCACTGGAGCACGCTTTGCTGGGTGGGGGAGAAGCGTGTGGACGCCGCCGCTGGGGCCTGAGGTGGACCTCCCTACGGGGTTGCGAATCGCCGTGCTGGGTGGGGGATATGCATGTGGACACCGCGACTGGGGCCCTAGGTGAAGCTCCCTGCGGGGTCACGAAGCGCTGTGGTGGGTGGGGGGAGACGCATGTGGACACCGCCACTGGGGCCCTAGGTGGAGCTCCATTTGGGGCCACGAAACATTGTGCTGGGTGGGGGAGACGCATGTGGACACCGCCACTGGGGCCTTCGGTGGAGCTCCTTATGGGGCCACGAAGCGCTGTACTGGGTGGGGGAGACGCATGTGGACACGGCCAGAGCTCCCTATGGGGCCGCGAAGCGCTGCGCTGGATGGGGGGAGACGCATGTGGACACTATCACTGGGGCCCTTGGTGGGGCTCCCTATGGGGCCACGAAACATTATGCTGGGCAGGGGAGAAGCATGTGGACACCGCAACCTTAGGTGGAGCTCCCGATGGGCCCACGAAACGCAGTACTGGGTGGGGGAGACACACGTGGACAGTCACTGGGGGGGGTCTTAGGTGGAGTTCCCTGCGGGCTCACGAAGCGCTGGGCTGGGCGGGGGAGAAGCATGTGGACACCGCCACTGGGGCCTGAGGTGGACCTCCTTACGGGGTTACGAAACGCTGTGCTGGGTGGGGGAGACGCATGTGGGCACCGCCACAGGGGCCCTAGGTGGAGCTTCTGCGGTGTCACGAAGCGCTGTGGTGGGTGGGGGAAAACAGATGTTGACACCGCCACTGGGGCCTTAGGCGGAGCTCCATATGGGGCTACGAAACGCTGTGCTGGGTGGGGGAGACGCATATGGACACCGCCACTGGGGCCTTAGGTGGAGCTCCTTATGAGGTCATGGAACGCTATGCTGGGTGGGGGAGACGCAGGTGGACACCGCCCCAAGAGGCCCTCAAGACGGCCCAAGAGGCCCTCAAGACGGCCCAAGACAGGGGCAACAGCGGGGATCCAAACCGACATTTCGAGCCTAGACGCCAAAAGCCCCGGGGAGGCCCCCGGGAAGGCCCCCGAAGCGCATCCCAAAAGTCCCAAGAGGTCATCCGTCAGCAAGCAGTTGTGGCTCAAGCCATTTGGGCTCAAGGGTGCCCTGCCCGGACCCGCTTCCTCGTGGAGGCAGCTCTTGCTTAGGGGCACCAGCGAGAGACCTCCGCCCCTGATTTCCCGGCGGTATGAGCTTCTCTGGTTTTTGTGTTAACTGTTGTAAGCAAATTCCAGTCGTGGGGCTCGCTTTCAGCTGGCCTCCGTCATATGATGATCTCGAGAAGATGTTGCAGGTTTATGCTCTGCTGACAGGCTTGGTACTGTCGATGGTTGGGGGTTGCATTTTCGAGAACTTCTCCCACATCGACAAGGCTGCCGACATATATGGCGCCCTTTTTGGATCGCTTGAGTTGCTATTCCTGGCGACAGTCACCATCGTCTGCCTTTACATATATTTAATGATGTTCGTTACGCAGGAAAATAACGATCTCGCCACAAAACAGGTTCGCAGATGGTGGAGCAACGGTGGGAGGCTTATCTTTGTTGCTCTTCCGGTTCTCGTGTTTACCTCTTGCTGGCAGTTCATAATGGCTGTCACGATGTACTTCGAGGGCATGTTTGATCATATGGATGTCCAGTTCGATTATGGGTGCATGAAGAGTTGGTTCACGCTGCCCATAGTTTCATTCCTGGCATTCTTTACCATACACAAGAGTTTCCTCTCAGCGGGATGGAATGAGCAAGATTACGAGAGCTTGTCAGAGGACTGGGATGACTGCTTCTCCTCGTGAAATGCAGCAAACCCAGTTTCAACCCGGAACAACATAATGCTGCAATCGTTATCTGCATACATGTGTGTGTATATATATATATATATATATATATATATATATATATCCCCGTTATCTCTATATATATATATATCATACTATAACATAGCATGGCATGCCATAGCTGGCCGATAGCCGCCCAATCTGGGTGGTTCCAATCCAAGTCCAGCATCGCACTTTACTTCAGCGCAGGCTTCGAAGCCATGGCCATTGTCCCCCTCAGCTTGCAAAATTACTGTGGGAGGGGGGCGTGCAAGTGTTGTCGGATTGGATCGGGATCAAATTACTAGAGAAGGAGGTGGAGGAGATGGTGGAGGGCGAAGCACAAGCGTTTGGATGAGCACACGCTTTGGAGGTCGCGCGGGAGGCCCTCGCGCATGAGTACAAGCTCCCTTCGGCTAGCGTCTTGGCTGTTTTTTTTGGCAACTTCAGAGGTGCCATAACCTTGCTCATGAGCCAGTGTTTGAATTGCAGATGGCTGACGTTTTCACATTTTCTGAACCGGGCCATGTGCGTGGTGTGCTCTGCATCGCAGCAGTAGCGGTCAGGAGCGGGCTTGTGTGGTTGGAACCACCGCCTCTACCTTGGGCCCATCAGCGTTGCGTTCTGCACGAGCATCGCGGAATTCTCCAGTGATTCGTCGCCCAGTCTACTTGAAAAAAAGTCCCAAGAGGTCACCGGGAGACCCCAACACAAACCGGAGAGGACTCACCCCCCAGAGACCCTCAATAGCCCTTCAAAAGCGTCCCCCAAAGGCGTCCGAAGAGACTCCGAGCATGTTTTCGCCAGACTTCTAGGGACTCTCGGGCATACCCCCTTAGGATGCCCTGGATCCTCCTCGTTGCTGCTTTGCGCGACTTCTTGGAGCCTTATTCAGCGACTCCTAAAGCGTTCATCAGGAAGTACGCTCCCATATGGTGAACCTTGCGGGGCGATGCCCATCCTCATCCGATCCTGTGAGGTTGGCTTGGACTGCGCTAGAATCTAAGCGCGCGCGAAGCGCGCGCGTGGTTCTAGTTGGGTTGGCAGGGGGAGGAGGGGATGAATATGGGCAGCAACACCACCAGGGAGGGTATGAAGGATTGGCTCGTCGTCGTCGTCGAACGATGGGTATGGTAGTCCGCCGTCCTCAACACTACTGGCACTCTTATACCTGCCATACATAATGCAACAGCAGACAGATAAGAGAGAGAGAGAGAGAGACAATACTCAAGAACACACAACTAATGCTATAGTTGTCAGCGCTGCGCGGCTGCGCTGCTGCAGAGCAAAATGCCCCGGTAGCCGCGCGCGTGCCCCCCTGCAGACCGGCCTCGGACGAACGGGCAACTTGTTGCCAAAAGGGCACAGCGCAGGAAACAAACCGGGCCAGCGCGCACGGCCCCCAGCAGAACAGCTTCGGACGCACCGGCAACCGGCAACTGGCCGCCAGGGGCACTGCGGATCTACAGAGAAGCCAGGCCGGCGCGCACGCGGCCCTCGGCAGACCCGCAGCGCTGAAAGTCGGACACGAAGTGGAATGTCTTCAGACCCCTGGAATTCTCAATCAGAGAAGAGGCGCCTCCCGCCAAGCCACCTGCACCGGATCGGAGAAAGGGCCTGGCGAGCGAAAGGGGGGCGGAGGGAGGGGGGGTGACACAGGGGCAGGAGCGGAGCCGAACGCCGATGCGGCAGGATCCTCCACAGCACATTCAAGAAAATCTGCAACGAAATCCCCCAAATGGGGGCTCGCGGGAGAGCCTTCAGCCTGGGGATCCTTCTCCTCCGCCTCTTCTTCCTCAGACTCCGACTCGTCGTCGCCTACGGCGTTTGCCCGTGGCCCTCGCAAAGTCGGGCTGGAGGCTGGGGTCGGGGGGGGCAGAGGAGGAGGGAACCTCCCAGGAGACATAAAAGTCACGAATCTTGCCCTCAACAATATGTGCATCTTCCAAAAGATTCTTGTCAGCCTGGCTGGCGGACTCTGCACAAACCTGCAAAACACTGGCACTGATACCCTTCGCAATCGCCAGGCACATACCTGGGGGATGTATCTTCTTGGAGGCAGTGAAAAAACGGCCCTGGCCATCTTTCCTGGGAGACGACGGTGGGCACCAGGACCGTGGGAGCACTTACCCTGGCCAGGAGTAATATGCAGCTCATGGTACAACGTAGGCATACGGATGATGACTACACATGTGGGGGCCCTCCCAAATCCAGCGGGGTGGGAATCGGGGGCCTGATGCTCGCATTGATCGAACACGCAAGTGGCCGCACATGGGGCCGAGGCGACAGCCACCAGAGGGGGCCACCGCAAGGACGTCGGGGCCCCAGGGGCCCACAAAGCAGGGGCAGGGTGTTCGAGCCAGGCCCCCGTCCCCGCTCGGAGGTGCTCCGCCATGAGACGAACCACACTGTGTGAGAGCATGCTGCCTACCCTCGGCTGTTCAGACTGTCGAGGTGTACTCCACGGGACTCCCCAAACATAGTCAGCAGACCTCAGAGAAGGGGGACCCCCCTCCTGCCATCTGGCAGCTGACCAAGTCTCGCAGGGGGGTCCCCCTCCCGTGCTGATGACTCGACGTGCGCGGATGTGTTCGGCCCATTCCAAGATAGTCTCTTCCCTCGTGAGGTCACCCCTAATCGGATCAACGGCGATGTCACTGCTCAGCATAAGCACCTCCACACTCGGACGCACGATCTGGTTCTCTAGCTGCCATTGCATGCCTCCTCTGACCACTAAAGAAGTGTAGGGCAAAAACAGTTGGCTGGTGGATACGACTAGGAATAGCTTCCGCGGCGACTCCACTGTAATCACCAACACTATGGGGTAAAAAGGGGGATCCAACATAGTAGAGGGAACAGCTGGAACGCGAGTCTTAAAGATGTCGAGGAAGCGCGACACCGAGGAAGTCTCGATACAGTAATCCGACTCACACATGATTTCCCTGGCCTGATCTTCAGAAAACGAACGAAGCAAGTCTGCCAGCTCCTGAGAGAGAACTGCATCATGCCTTGACGCAAATCTCCACCCGCCATCTGCCTTGACCAGAACGGAGCTGCTGTGCAAGACGGTGAGACTCTGCCTCATTTAGTGCATCCGCCTGATCTTGAGAGCATGGTCGGCCCGGCCACAAAAGCGAACCACGAGAATGAAGAGTCCGAATAACATGCGAGCGAAGGATTGAATCAGGGACGAGGGTGAGTACGGAAGAGGAGGACGAGAGGGGTTAGGGGGCGAGGGCGATGAGGAGGAGGAGGAGGAGGAGGAGGAGGAGGAGGAGGAGGAGGAGGAGGAGGAGGAGGAGGAGGAGGAGGAGGAGGAGGAGGAGGATGAGGAGGAGGAGGCGGAGGACGGGGACCCGAGGAGCGAGTCGGAGCGCGTGCTCGTTGCCCGCGTGGAGAGCGTCGAGGCCTCACTGAAGTGGGTGCTGGAGGAGCTCAAGGCCTTTGAGGACGGCCCTCCTCCTTCTCCTCGTTCTTCTCCTCCTCCTCCTCCTCCTCCTCCTCCTCCTCCTCCTCCTCCTCCTCCTCCCCCCGCCAGGAGGAAGCGGACGGGGGAGGGAGGATGGAGCAAAAAACGCGAGGGGGAGTTCATTTGTTCCTAGATTGCGGCCTCAAGGGTCCAACCCTTCGGGCCCAGCGTGATAACAGATATTTGGGACGACAGACTGCTTCCTTGAGGGGGATGGGGCAGGAGGAAGAGGTGTGAGTTTTTTAGCTTTGTGTGTGTGTGTGTGTGAGTTCGTGTGTGTCGGACTTTGTGTGTGTGTGTATGTGTGTGTGTGTGTGTGTGTGTGTGTAGGACGCAGCTCGTGGCAGTCTTCGTGGTAGGGCGCAGCTTGAAAAACCGAACAGGATGGTGATGGGGAGGAGTCCGGGATTCAAATTTGAGTGATTAGGGTTGGGGGTAAGGGGAAGCGGGGAGGGAGGTTGCCCCTTTCCCTCTCCTTGCCAATTTTCCCAGCCCGTCTCCCTCGAGGTTCCCCCCCTCCTGCTCCTCCTGCTTCTGCTGCTGTTGATGCTGCTGTTGTTCTTCGTCCTCCCTTCCTCCTCCTCCTTGTCCTCCTGCGCCTTGTCCTCCTGGGAAAGCTCCTGTTGATGCTGCTCCTCTCTGGGCGGGCTGTTAAAGCTGTTCCTTCTCCTGCCCAGCGTTGTCGTCGGTCGTCGTCGTCGTCGTCGTCGTCGTCGTCGTCGTCGTCGTCGTCGTCGTCGTCGTCGTCGTCGTTCTCCTCCTTGTCATACTCCTACTCGTCCTCCTCCTTCTCAGTCTCCCCCTCCGCCTGCTCATTTTTTTTGTCCCCCATCCTCCTGTTGCCCCTCATTCTGCTGTTCCTCCCCTGCCACCTCCTCTCACGTCCACCGTGCTACAGGTGGCAACCGATTCATGGAGCCGCTAACGGGCGCTGGCACCTATTAGCCGGCTGATTTGGAACACGTCCTCAGCCAATTTCTCCCGCCCCTGCCACAATATGAGGCTGCTGTGCACCGAGTTAGTTTTTTACGTGGCGCTCCTCTGGGAAGAGCTCTGGGCGATTGCGCTCCCTCACACCTGCCACTCCGAGCCAACAGGCTACGGATGACAGCAACGATGTTCTTACCCTCCTACCCCATCCTAGCTCCACAAAGTATTTGTGCAAGAGCTGGCAACTTCTCTTTTCCCGCCCCTGCTCCTCTGCATGTCTGCTCCGCAGAGGCACCTAGGCCACCTACGGTTGGCGTCGCAGCGACGGCGTGCGACGCGGCGCCGCCGGCCCGCTTTTTGCTTTCTGGTCGTCGGCGGCGATGCAAGGGCACTACTGAGCGAATGGTCCGGAGTGCAAGAGCGGTAGCCCAATGTGTGTTTTACCCCTCTCAGCCCAACCAGTAGATCATTACATCGCCTGCGTCGTATCGAAGCTCCTCGACGGACAAACGCGCGTTGGGGCTAACGCACGTTCTGGGGATCCTCGAAAGGAGGACAGAGGGGCCGCGGGCGGAAGGGGTGGAGGAGGCGCTCAGAGGCGGAAGAGTTCCACCATGAGCGGGCCGGGGCGGCAGCAGCGGCGCAAGCCGGCGGCTCGGCAGGGTGTCGGGGGCGGCGCGAGGGGCAGCAGCAGGGCCAGGGGCGCGGCGGCGAGCGCCTCAGGGGGCGGGGCGGCGGCGGAGCAGCAGGCGACCGGGGCACGGGCCACCAGGACAGAGACGGCCGTCCCTGTAGCGGCGAGGGCCACTGCGGCGACCAAAGGTGCCAGGCCCGAAGGCGGACTGCACCACAGGGCGTGGGTGGGGCCAGTCCGGGAAGCAGAGGGCGCGGAGCGGGAGAGGATACTGGCGGGCGCCGGGGGGGCGCCAGCAGCGCGCCAGCCATCGGCCAGAGCCGAGGCAGGCGCGAGGCGG